CGCGCGATACAATATTAAAAATTATTAAAAATTAAAATTTATTAAAAATCCAAAATTATTTAGATTAATTTAGAATAATTTTTTCTTACATTTCTTTTGATTTTATTAAATATTAATATTTATAGAAAATATTTAAATATTTATAAAAAAATTAATAATTAATATAAAATTAAAATGTTTTTTAAGCTAATTTTTATTTTTTTTTCCTAAATAAAGTCTTAGCCATACTTTTAAATACACACATTAATATTCAGATAATTATTGCAAGATAGAGATTGAAATGCATCAATTATTCGAAAAACTAGATGTTCTGAAAATTATTGCTAATTTCTTTTTTAATTTTATTCGTTTCATTAAAATATCGGAAACGAGAGAATATTTCTTATAAATTAAATAAAAAAAAATATTCCTGTTTTATTTTAAATTTTAACTATCAGCTTTTTGAAGATATATGCATATCTCAATAACTTTCATTTTTAGAAATTGATGGAGATAATTTCGAATCATTTAAGTGAGTAAAAAATATAATTATTAACGAATAATACTATATATTGGAAAAAAAAAACTAAACTTGCAAAAAAAACTCATCTATTTTAACAATCTTGAAATATATTGTTTAGGATATTATTTTGAACAACTTTTTCCATTATATATATGTAAATAATTGTCAATTTCAATTTTTTGAATTATTCACAAAAACTTTTGATATTATATCATTCTATCATATGTATACATGACAATATATGCGTTATTATGAATACAATATATATAAAATGAAGCTCTTAATCTTTAATTATAATAATATAATAATTATATTATATATAAAATTGTATATATTAATTATAATAATTATAATTAATAATTAATTAGAAAAATATATTTTAACATAGATTTTGATGTAATTTAACCAAAATTAATAAAATTAAAAGATAAAACAGAAAAAATTACACATCTCTGATCTTAGATTATTTTTTTCTGAATTTTGTTAATTATAATAAATTAAAATGCAGCTGCTTATACAAGAATAAAAAAATTACTCAAATTAATAGATTCTAAAGATTAAAAACTTTATTTTTTCTACGTATTTTGCATATTTTTGTGTATTATATGCGTATATTATTATGAATATACATATAAAGTCAGAATTTAATATCTATCAAAAATTATATTTAATATATATCAAAAATTCTTTAAAAATAATTCGGAAATTAAATCGACTATCAAATTAAATTTAGAGAAAAATCAAAATGATATTTCTAATAAACATATTTAAAGAAATGATATATATTTAATGAAATTAATGAAGAAATTACTTTTTTTGTTTACTGAAAACAATAAATAATTGTCTAGATTCAACACAATGAAACTAATATTTATTATTATAAATTACTAATAAATTCTTTTAAATGATATATAAATTATTCTTGTATAAATAAATGATAATAAATTTTATAAATAAATTTTATAAATTACAAGACAATATTATATAATTAAATATAATATAAAACAAATATAAAACAATTATTAATTTATTATTAACAATTATTAACATAATATAAAACAAATTATTAATTTAATTTTCATATATAGTTGTTAATTTTAAATGAAAAAAAAATGTTATATTTTATTTTATAAATAATATATTTTATTTTATAAATAAAAACTTTAATTGTTGTAAATATAAACTTTTTCATGTTTAATCTTCAAATAAATAATATTTAAAAATTTTAGGAACACGTATATATATTAGGAACATATATACATATTATATTATTCTTATAGAATAATAATAATAAATACTATATACAATGAAAACAATAGAATTATTATCTATTTTAACAATTTTGAAATATATATATATATAAAATTTTCAGAATGTCTTTAAAAATTAAACAAACAGCAAAAATAATAAAAAGAATCAAAAAATAAAGATATTTTAAAAAAGAAAAAAATGTTTATTATATTTCTATTTAACAATAATTAATATTTTTTTCTTAATTAATTGATTTCTTAAAAATTTTTATTTTAATTATCGTTTTTCTTATATGAATATTTAATTAATATTTAAAAAAGAAATCAAAAAAATAAAGAACAAATCAAAGAAGAGTGTATCAAAGACTTTCTCGTTTCGACGGATAGTAGCGAATAGCATATCGTCATACCAACAATTATTTCAGGAAACTGAAATCATTTTACACTTGAAAAACTATTTAAATCGATCGCAATAAATATAGGGAAATATTTGTATTCTACAAGATAAATGATATTTGTCATCTGTTCATAATGCAAAATATTTTGATTATTCATTTTGGCAATATAGACGTTATCGAATGAAAGAACCGAATAAATCAAATATTATTTATTATAACTAGTTGAAGAAAAAATAAAGACAATTCTATATTGTAACATTGCTTTAATGGTGTAAGTATATTTACTATTTATGTTTATATGCTTTTATTATTATTATATGAAATAAATATTTTAACTTGCATTTCGAAAAATATATTTGTTTTCCTTTATATTTTATTTTTATTTTCGAGTTTATTAAGTTTTTCGTAAAAAAATATAAATAAATATATGAATGAAAATAATCATTGACAAATTTATATTTTCTATCATAAACTCAATTTTTAATGTATATATATTATAAAAATATTATAAAATAAAATAAAAAATATTTAAAAAATTATAAAATAAAAAATATTAAATCATCGATTATTCATTTTATTGATATTCATATTATAATATATTTTCTCATTTTTCCGTCTCCTTAGTTTTTATGTTATTCGATTGATAATATAAATAATATTAATCCAAAGAAAATTAAATCTATTCTGAAGATTTGCATTAACATAAAATTTCAAAGTGTTATTGTAATATAACCCACATATATAATAAATATTAATATATTAAATTTATAAGTTAGAAAATTAATTATTTTGCGAATGCAATTTTATGTTATATCGTTTTATTGTTTATATCATTTATTATATATATATATGTGTCTATATATCAAGATTCTTTAATATACTTTCAATAATTTTTTAAATACTTATATATAATATCGAATATATTTATTTCTATCAGTCTGAAACATGCTATATATTGTTTAACAATAATATATATACATATATATTATTATATATTATTATAATAACAACAATAATAATAAATTAAAATTAATGATTGATATCTTAAAACATTGTTCATTGAGAAATTTAATTATTCTATGCAATAACCGATTTCATGACTGAAATACCATGAAATTGTAGAATAGATGTTTGTGTGCTTGTCGAAAAGTTTCATACGAAAGAAGTTTCGGATAAACTTTTATCGTTATCAAAAACAAGATAAGAAAGATGCATATGTTATATATATATATGTCATATGGTTTGTAAATGTTTCAAAACGCTTTAATAAACAATGACTTCAATTTAATAAACAAAGACTTTCAATTTTTATTACAATGTATATCTCAATTAATTAGGATTCAATTTTATGGTTTCATAATTATAATATAATTATAATAGAAGATAATATATAATAGATAAATATTATTAGTATATCATTGTATGATATACTGAAAATGAGGTTATATTTATATAAATAATGAATTATTTTTGTCGCAATTATTCTTCAAACGTAATAATTTGATATACGAATAGATTTATTTGAAAATATAGATTTTTGATATATGAATAGAATAATGAATAGATATATTATAAAAATATAACAAAGAATAAATTTATTTAAAAATTATTAATTTTCCGCAGATTTTCTATTATTACATTTCATTATTTATTATATAAAAATAGTTAGAAATAAATTTTAAATAACTTTATAACATCTATGGATATATTTTTATTATTTAATCTATATTTTCTAAAAATTAATACAATAATTGAAAAAAAACATATTTATCTCATACTAAAATATTCTTCATTTTTTTCAAAAATAATTCATAAATCAAAATAATTATAAAAGAATAGTATATGAAAAAACATATATATGTACATAATACATAATATATATATATAATACTAAACAATTCTATTATGTGATAGTATTCCATTTATCAATAAAAATATAATAAATGATTTTTTTATTACTACGAAGTTAAAATCATATCATAATAAAAAAACTGCTCTTTCTTTATATGTTTAAAATTTTATAAAATTTCAAGAACTTAATGAAATTATGAAACTATGTATATAAAGTAAAAAACATATATATATATTTTTCATATAATAAAAATTATATATATTTCATATATAATTACAGTTACTATCTGCAATAATGTAGATTCAATTATAAATTTATTTTTGATAAATTGATATTATTTTTGATTAATTGCGATATATATAAATTATATTTTATACATAGGCATAATATGTTTCCATCAAATTCATTTTTACATTCATATAATAATGTATATAATATGTAATATATATACATGTATATAATAAATATATACATATATACATATTTTTTTTCCTTTCTATCGTTCTTAATTAATTTAATTTTCTAATTTTTTAAAATTACTCTATCATAAAAATAGACAACACATATGTAATATTTATATGTAAATAAATACATAAACAAATAAAATTTCCAGTTAATAAATTATTGTATAATTAATATTTTCAAAAATGAAAAATTTTATTTAGCGAAATTACTCTGAAACGGAAAGGTATTTCTAAATAATAATAATTGTAAATATTAAAATTTTATAAACAATAATAATTTATTGCAAAAAGATAAAGAAAATTGAAATATTATACGATTTATTTCTTATGATTATTTTGTAAAATAATAAAATTGTATTATTCAAAATGCAAAAACTCAAATCGTTTTAATAAAAGTACCATGAACTTTATTTAAAGTTAAGATTTTTTAATTATGAAAACTTGAATATAATTAATTTGATTAATTAAAAAGAAAACGAATTTAGATGTAGAATGTAAAATGTAAAAACTTAAATAAAATGACATAATATTTACCTGCGATTAAGCAGAACTCCACTGTGACAATTATGCGAATACTGCGTAAAGACAGATTCTGATCATCTTGGAGAGAAATCCCCAAGAAGTAAATATATCCATTTATAAAATCATGTTCGAGAAGAAGTAATGATGGAACCGTCGGAAGTCGTCACTTCTATTACGATTCTTTTTTCAATTAAAATAAATCACCGTAATCACTTATTTTTGTTCACTATTCACTATACAATATTGAGTTTCACTTAAGCACGCAAATAATAATAAAATCAGTAAATAAAATTCATAAAATTTTTACTTATTATTCACTTCTAAATAAAAAATTAATCATGAATTTTTTTGAACACCGGAATAATTAAAAATAACAAAAAATTCTTTTTTATATGTTTTACTAATTTACAAAAACAAAAACTGAAACATTCGAAATCCGAAAGAGATAAATATTTATGAATACGCGTTTTCGTTTTGCATGTTGTCTTTTCGAAAGAAAGTATTGCAAACTACGAAAAACTACATTTTCAATTAATATCACAAAATATTTACCGGTAAATAATTTCTACAGTTTTTCAAACTTTTTTTCGTATTGCAACAAATACATATTCATTTCGAAATCAGAATTTTCTCAAACTATGCTTAAACTAAAATGCATCAATTTTCAATAATTTGATATAAAAAATGAATCAATAGATTTGAATTCAATAATATTCGCGATATAATAATAATCAAAACGAAGGATATGACTCCTAGAATCTGATCATATTCCCTTTAATGCGGGCGCCGGCCGGCTTAAAGCTAGGCAACCGAATGCTTTTCCTTGTAACTGATAGCTTGATTTTTTTAAATATCCACAACGATTCACTTTACATACATTTAACGTACGAATCACTTTTTAAAACATTTAACACATTTGTATTTTGTTAAATAAAGTTAAATTGACACATTCACAGTTCAAATCACTTATTGAAAAAATTTTTAGACACTATTTCCATATAAATAGAAGAATGTATAATTTGTTTTAAAATATCATTTATATGTTATGATTGAATTAATAGATAAATAATTATCATTTCCAGTAAAAAGAAATTCACCCGTAACGCGACATATCATAACATGTTCACCATCGAACGGTTAAATTGTGACTGCGGCTAGTGGGGTTCGATGCCATCTCCCCCACTACCATATTCAACCTTACTAGCGAAACACCACAGAGAGTAGTGGATGTTTTAAAGGACACGCCTACTGCCACGCCCTCATCTCCACGTTACACCTCCTTTGGACGCGCCTCTTTTTTTCGGAACTTATCACATGAGAAGATTCATATAAAGTAAATAAGAGTAAATAAGTTCTTATTTACTTTATGAATAGAATTTGAATATTTCGCGCTTTTTTAAAATAAAATTATTTATTTTTATTTAAAAAAAAAATATTTAATGCTAAAATGTATTTATAGAAATAATTATAAATAAGATAAAAAAAACAAAATAAAGATAAAGATATTATCAAAATAAAGATAAGATATTTATTATATTGTAATAAATATATTGAATATTCAAAAATATGCAACAAAAATTTGTAAAAAGAAATATAATAATAATAAAATATAAATAATAAAATATAATAGTATAATAAAAAATAAAAAAAAAAAGTTTAAATCTACTATTATCAAATATTTGAATATAGCAAATAAAGAGATAAATTCTTTCTCTAATAATCATATATTTTATATTCTCTTTGATCTTATTTTTATTTTGATCTTATTTCCACAAATTAAAAATATAAATATAATGTCACATAAAAAAAGAAATCTATATTATATAAATCTATATTATATATATGATAAATTAATCAATAATATAATATAATAATATTTATTTTGTAACATATTTATAATTTTAAAAAATTACATAATATATATACATATACCTATGTATACATGTATGCTAATTAAAATAAATTATATAAGATTTTTATTTCAATTTTACAATTTATCATATTATTATTATAAAATTATGAAATTAATTAAATTATTAATAATCTAATTATTAATTATATACTATTTAAAATAATTATAAAATTATATAATAATAATATATATTTATATGTAATTCAATGATACCTAAAATATTATATTATTATATACTTAGATAATATATAGTATCTATATTATTATTAAATATGATTAATTTTAATTTATATTCTATTTTAATATATATTTTATTTTTAAATTATTAAATGAGTATACTCTTTCAATTGTTTAAATCATTATTTTCAGATAAAATAACTATTTGTTAATAATAAAATCCAAAATATCATTATATTTAATTGTTTAAGTATGAGATATAAATTTTAAAAAATAAATAATTTACTTTAAAGATAATATTTCTTTTTATAAAATACAAATTAATTAATAATTAAATTGTGGATTTTTATTTAATTTATGAATTATTTTTATTTTAATATAAGCAAAAATTACATTATTGAAATATATTATTTATAATCTATAAAACTGTAAAAAATTTTTAGAATAATGTTAATTTTGTTGACAATTGAATATTATATAATTTTTATAAATATTACATTTGATATGTCAATAGTTATTTAGATATAATTGATTGAATGATGTGAAAGATCTATAATAAGATTGTTTATAGATTTAAATAATATAAAAAATATAATAAAAAAAATAATATAAATATATTTATCGTAAACTGATCTAGAATACTCTTTTGTTACATAAATAAAATAAATATAGAAAATTATTGTATCAATAAATATAAATCATTCTATATCATTTATATTATTTTAGATTTTAAAAATATTTAAAATATTTAATAAATATAACTATTTTTAATAAATCATTATAATATAAGAAAATGTAATATTAAAATCATACATGTGCAGTATCTTTCGTATAATATTGTTACGATACAGTAAATATAGATATATTTACTATATATATTTACGTGAATGCATGTAAATACATGTATTAATGCAAAATAATAATATTATCTAATACATTTTTATTATTATTATGTCTTTTATATAATTTTTATTATTATTTATTATATCTTGTATTATGTATATTTGTATCTATATACAAAGTGATAATATATTTATGAAATCCTTTTGGAAATGATTTTAGCGATCAAAATAAATGAAAATTAATATACAAAAATGTCGATGAAGCGTTTTTATTAATTTGCAAGCAATTGAATTTTATTTGAAGTTAACTTAAATAGTTAACTTAAATAAAGTGAAACATAGATTAAGTGAACGGATCTATCTCTGTCACATTGCCATTTGCTCTGTTTCTGTCTCATTTTATTTAACTTATATAACTTATTATAGCTTATATAACTTATATATAAGCAAACTTATTATATATATATTATATATATATAATATATATATATTACATATATAAAATATATATAATAATATATAAATTAAATATATAAAATATATATATAATATATATATAATAAGTTTGCTTATATATAAGTTATATAAGCTATAATAAGTTATATAAGTTAAATAAAATGAGACAGAAACAGAGTAAATGGCAATGTGTATATGGCAATATATATAAAAAATATATATAATATATATATTATATATATATAATATTATTATATATTATATATAACTTATATATAAGCCACAATCAATTACATTATAATCAATTACATTCAATTACGTTATAATAATATTTTTATAATTTACTATAATAAATTATTAATATATTGTTATAATATATATTGTTATAATATATATTTGTTGTAAATAAAATGAATTAAATATTTATAATTTTTTAAAATTGTTAATAACAGAAATGTAAATATTGTAAACAAGCAATCTTTATGAATTAAATTAATAAAGATAATTCGAATCTTCACAAGATATGAAGTATATATCAGTTTGATTCATCCCAAAACAATATTATCGGAGTTTTGGCTCTCATTTTTCTCATTTGCTGCGTGCTTGAAAATTCAATTGAAATCTAGGTATTGTAAAAAAAAAAATATTCTGCACTTTTTTTTTCTTATTGTATTCATGGAAATAAATTATTATTTTCCTTATAGTATACAATATTTTAAATATATTTATTCATTAAATTTTTGAACTAATAATAAATAAAAAAATAATAAAAAATAAGAAGTTCTATATAATAGAAATTGATTTATCTAGATTTAGAATAAATTACATAATATTATTTATATATAATAACTTATAATATTATTATTCTAAAAAATACAACTTTTAACAATGATGCAACAGTGCTTTTTTTATAAGATAACATAGGGATTAATTTAAATGAATTAATAAAATTCGATTTATTATTTTATTTATTATTTTAAAAATATTTATTTTTTTATGATATTTAATTATCTATTAATATTACAATCCATTTAAAGTTATTCGAGATATTATTAATCATTTTACTAAATTTTCGAAATACAATTAAAATTTTATAAAATTTAATGTGATCTTCAATTTATATGAATTATTTTGGATATTTTTTCAATACATCTCTACACTTTACAACTTGCTAACATTTTTATTATATCATTTTATTATTTTTTTTGCGCAATATTATATATTTTTTTAAATCCAATTCTCAAATACATAAAAAATCAATATTATATCTTTTGTAAATTCTCTATTTAAAGGATAATTAAAGCGTGATGATTCCTAATTCTTTCAATAAATATATAAGTTTAAAAATTAATTTTAATATAAGAGCAATAAAAATTTATTTATCAGAAATAAAGATATATTTCAAGCAAATTGGACAGTTAAGAATATAAAAAAATATACAGAAGAATGGTCATCCGATTAAATTGAAAGTGTGTATGGCATGCACATCATCATCAGCATGGCGCTCCCCCATGCGTCCCTGTGGCGCCGAGACTGCTTTGAACTTCCGTCCTGCCCCACGAGCAACTAGAATCCCCTCCTGTGTCGGTACACCAGAGAAGCGAATGGTGCCGTTTTATGCAATTTTTGCTGACAGTGATGCGGTACCACCCGGTACAAGTTAGTTTTAGATGCCGCTCCGCCTACCGACACCATCGCAGTTATATGAACTTGGTTGCACATGCGCAGTATGCAGAGTTATATGACGCGTTCGAATTACTCTCCGCCATCTTTTCACCAGCCAGAATCAGTGATACAACCCAATGTGACTGTTCTCTTTCTCTTTGTCTTTCATCCGTATGCAATCTTGTTGATATAACTATCTCTCTTTTTCTCTCGTTTTCTCTTTCTCTCTCTTTATCTATCTTTTACTTCTTACATCTAGCT